TTTCATTATATTATTATTATTATTAATTATTATTATTATTATTATTATTATTATTATTATATTTTGTTATTATACAATTCTGGTGTTTTGTATAGGACATTTAATGTAAGGTATTGATTATAGTGTCAGCTGCATCCACAATTAATTTAAATTAAAAAAATAAAAAATTCTAACTTACAGAATTTAGTTTATAATGGACAGCGAAATAATAATAACAACAACAACAATAATAATAATAATAATAATAACAATGTCACATAAAGTAGAGTATTGGTTCACTTTAATGCTTTTCTTTCTGTGCAGACATTTCTGTGCGCCTGTTTACAGTGTGTTTTTGCTGTTTGTTATTTCTGTACTTTTCCAAAATGCTGTGACGAGAAAGACCGAGACTGTCCGGCTGGAACACTCAAAGCAATCCAGCCCATTTTTGCCTTCCTTTCCTAAGAAGAAAAAAAAACAACAGAAAAACTGAATATATCCTGGTACCAGCTCTGGCCGCAGTGGCTCTACTTCTACTGTATGACTCATTCACTTAGAAGACTATTTGTGGGATGTATCTCGATTCGTTTCTTTTGTATGGCTTCGTTTGTTTGTATGTTTGTTTTGTTTGTTCCGTTCTCTCTGTCAGTCTGTGCCAAAGCACAAACACAGACACGTGTTCTTGTGCCACTTAAATCCTGTGATTAATAACCTGATCTGATGCTGGAAGGTTATTGAGGGAAATCCACGACTAGTTGGAGATTCATTCTCTGACTAAAATCCAGAGGAAAATATAGAAATTCAGAAACTCAAATCCAACTGAAGGATGTAGATGTGTGGAGGGAAAATATAATATTTAAATAGACCCATAATGTGAATTTTAGGCAATTTTATATGAGACGTTTTACATTTCAAAAACTTTTTGAATGTATTAGGCCCAGTTAACAATGTCAAAGTAGCACTATAATGAAAAGCTGCACTCCCTTTTTAAATCCTTTCATCGCCAGTCTTTAAAAAAGAAGCATAACAATGTTTTACGTTATGTTTTATAATAAGGTATAGCTATTACACAATAATTCCTCATTAATTTAAATAAGGCCCAAATTTTATATTTAAATTCTGACTGAGTAATCCTTCATCTGGAATTTGAGTTTTTGAGGTGGAAAAAAAAAAAAAAATCAACCAAACCAAAACAAAATAGCATTGACCTGAAATCTGTGATCAAACGAAGAGGGAAAAGAAATCAACGATTGCACAATTTCTATATGCTTTTTGTCATTAAATCGTATTTGTTTTCTATAACACTGCAGTCTCTGCACGTTATTCAGCTTCAGGAGAAAGTCGCAACTCTGGCAACAAGCTTCTCTTCCTTTCTCCCTTCCTGTACGCCGCCTTGCATTATAATTATGGATTTTATCAATCCGTCTCGGTTGCTTAAAATTGTCCTTCAGCTGTTTCGGTGAAGTGTTTACTACCGCTGATCTGCACTGATATGGTTGCGTGGAGAGATACCCGTGAAGATGCTCAGACAGCCGGTCAATGGCCTGAAATTGAAATACAACACAGCGTTAATTAATATTTTCATCAGGATAAAAATAAAAAAAACTAATTGACAATTATGGCGAGACGTAATTTAAAATATCCAAACAATTAAAGCAGTTCTGCAGACCCGTAAACGGTGGTTAAACACAAGATACTGTAGGCCTAACTGCAGGTGTAGGACAGAAAGTGATGCATTATAAGCTACATTTATTAGTTTATTATGTATAATCTGGCCTTCTGCCTTCATTAGACATAATAAAATAATAATAAATGTGTAATATGTATCATCTCCATGCCCTAGGAAATCATCTAAATAATTGTATAAATACTTTTACAGACACATATAACAATTTTACTGTGTAAAAAATACAATAATCACCAGTTTTTCAATTGGAGACATGAGGAGCCTGTGACCGTATATTTAAAAACAAAGACTCTTGTTTTCAGTCATTTTTGAGGATTTTGTTGCAGTAGGTTTTTGGATCTAATTTCACCTGTTAGAAAGGTTTTATATATATATATATATATATATATATATATATTTCGCATCCCTGTATGTTTTTGTCACCCCATGTCTAATATTTCCTGTCAGATGCTTTGGCTGATCTGTGGCCAAATCAGAAATAGTCTGCTGATGCCACCTAGTGGCTGTTAGGAGGTCAAAGGCGGGCTCGGATTGAATAGAGGGCAGTGCTTCATAAACACTGAATATGTTCTTTTTATATACATATATAAATTATAATTTATAACCAACTACAACCATTTAGGACACAGAGTCTGGATTTTATATTTCCTCTTTATTTTTTCTGGGGTTTTATAAACCTTTGACGATTCCAGTATTTGTCCAATTGAATTGTTGCCAGCCAATAGAGGCTTTGAAACTTGAAGCATTTAGAACTTATGTTCTAAAAATGTATGTAGTGTATGTTAGGAGATGAAATGCTTTATTTTACAAGTCAGTAATTTCCTAATAAGAATTATGTAATCTGGAACTACATTAAAGGTAAAATAGAGTTAAATGAACTGGTATCTATTAAACATCCAAATAATTAAAACAATGGAGAGACTTTCTTTTGGGGGACTTGTGACCTCAGTATTTCTAAAATCCTGGTCACGGTCCTGCTTGTGTCTCTTCTAATTTAAAGTTAAGGCATGTCTGTTTGATTTATATAGCCCAACATTTTGCTCCGTGGGTTTTACAATCTGTACAAGATAACATTACAAAACACAAACAACAATACAAACAACTACCGTGTACCATATAATTTTAGAATAACTGGGAATGAGATCTAACTGTAGAGTTCATGAAGAAATTCAATCTCTATGTTTTTAATTTATTTCTAATCCCTTTCTAAACAACTATCATAAAACAGGCAATGACTGGCTTCAGAGTTCCTCTCAAATTGGCCTATTTACTACTGTGTTATTGCAGTCTCATCTATACTTATATTATCCATGCTTTTATTTTGAAATCTGAGCCAATAGTAGGGAAAAAAGAGAAAAAAGGGACAAAATATTTGAGGGTGTATGTGCATATGTATATCTGGTGTGTGTGTGTGTGTGTTAAGCCAGGTCTAAACCCAGCTCTCTGGAGGACCCTGTTGCCTGGATTCTGTCCTATCAGCAGGCGACCATCTGCCCTCCTCCCGGCCCTCTCACTTGTACAGGCATCCTCTGCATTATTCATATTTTTACACACACACACACACACACACAAAGGAACATTCACTCCTCCCTGCACACAGTGTCCCACCTCACACATCATGCACACACACAGCCACGTGTTAGACAGCCTGCCACACACACACACACAGCTGCTGCTGCCTCTGACACTGTACGCCATCTCTGACTCACCAAAGATGGTTTATACGTTGGTGTCATTGTCAGCTCTCAATTGTCTCCTCTGTCCTGTGTGGAAGGGATCTCCCAGGGATTCTGCACAATGGCCACAGAAATGCAACCAGCCAAAGTCATCAAATATCATTCATCTGTTCACGACTGTTTGTCTCTTTTCCCTTTTCTTACCCGAACCCCATGCTACGTCTCTACAGCGGTGCTCCCACGACTTGCTTTCTCTCTCTCTGCCCTCCTTTTTCTCTCTGTTTCTCCAGAGCTCCAGCACAAGCACAAAGAAAAGGGCAGAGAGCTAATTCCTCAGCATTGTTGGGTGGGCTTAGTATTGTCATATGGTAGCAAGCACAGAGGGAGAGGGATTACGAGACAGATATGTGCCGGAGTATATCCACCTCTAAAAACTGTTGATGCTGAGCAGTTTTTGCAAAAAGATTCACCTTTTTTTTAAGGTAGGTATGACTTTTCATGTACATTTCAACACTCAACAATGTACACAATAACTGAAACACAACAGAGAGTAAAATACCACAGCTATATTTAATGAAATATTAAGAGTAATCCATTGTCATACAGCTTTTTATCTCTAGGTATGATACATTCATAAGAATCCTTTTTTTTTTTATGTTACAGAGGTTTTTTTTTTTAGATAATGTTCGCATAATTAATTATTTTTTAACAGCTGTCTTATTTACAGTTTGATGAAATTTCACAAGTGTTTCAGCACACACATGACACCACGAGACAATGCAATATGGCTTTTACGGTCTACAAGCACAGATCTCGATGTGAGAGTGACACATACACAATGGGACTGAACCCCGACCCATGACCTTTAACTGCTGAGGAACACTGAGACAGATGAAGTTGACCACAGACACTGATCTGGAAGGACTTTCGCAGTTTTTCCAGTAATGGGTGAGTTTGCAAGAGGGACTGGATACACTGACTATTAGCTGAGCAGCAGGATGGCTGACCTCACTGTGCAGATCTGAGCTCTAGTGGTCAATATTTAATGTTTTTTTTAAGGTTTCAACTGGACATGAAGCTCTGCAGAGTAAAACTTTCAGTTTTTTTTCATGACAGCAAAATTTGCAGCAAACGAGGGACTGCAGTATTCTAACACAATGATACTAATATTATGATATGAGTTACAACATTTATCAAATGACATCTCGAAACATGGACATACATGCAAGTACGGCAATGACTGGCAACGCGAAAATATGCAGTTTGTTCAGTGTCAACGGAAGTCAGATAATCTACAGTACTGCACGAATACAGATCAACTGACACAGATCAGTAAATTTATATTGATAGGAACTCTCAGCCAAAGAAGAAAACACATGTAAACATAAGAAGAAATGTGCAAAAATAATGAACAATATCATTGTTTCTTAAATTCAAGCACAGCCCCCATCAAAATCAATAAATATAAACAACATTAAATAAATAAATTATAACTCAATATAAAATATAAAAACATAAGTCATATGCTGGCACATATAGAAAGTAAACAGCTTTAGGAATCAGTTTCCATAAGGCTAAATCTGACTAATGATGACAAGAGAAGGCAAGAGCATGCAGGCGAAAGGTTTTAAGACACAAAATGAAAATTTTCAGTTCATTTCTTCAGTTTCAGACAATATTGTATTAAAATGAATCTGCAGCACAGAAACATAAAGGCTTTACTGTCTCCTTATTAAAGGCTGGGTTGAGGCTTTGATTTGTTGTTGAGCCCAACTTACTGACATTATTATGTTAAGCAGAGAACCCAGAATCCCTTAAAAGGGAAGGAAAGTGGAAAATGGTGATTTTTGCCGTCGTTAAATCATTATAATGTTCTTCACCAAAAACCATCATCGACATCGTGGTCAGTCTAAAATGACGCCGTTATAACCATATAACCTAAACTTTTGCTAAGTATTAAATTCTATTTATGACCTCATATTGTTACTTTTAGTTCATAACATGCTGCTACATATTAACGCTACATATTTTTACCCCTCATTACAAATTTCATTTTTGTGCAGAATCTTCACAAGAGGAGCCTGACTGATGCTGGATTTGAGATATTATTTGTATTATAGTTAAGACTTCTGTAAACAACATATTGGCTAATATGAATTTTATTAAAACACAAATATATATTTCATTTGGATCCCGTAATTTGGTTGTCAAGAAATTGTGAGTAAGATGTGCACAGAGCAGGACACTTTGCAGTCGAAATACATTTATCAGTGCTCTCTGATGGAGAAATGATGTGATACAGAAACTGTTTCTAAATTACCTGAAACATCTTATTGGCATTTCTGTACTGACATTTAATGCCAATTCAAATACTGCAACAGCATTAAGGCCGGTCATAGCATATTAGCACTTAAAGCGGCAAAATATTGTGCCAATTTATCCCAATTTCTTTGCTGCGGTTAGTGAATTCCCTTGCAAAAAATCTGTGCAATTTTTAACCAGAGATGGCTAATAGACCAATAACAGACCAACAGATATCCATATTTCAGGGGACAGAAAGACAGTTCAAAATGGTGCAGGTGTTGTAGCTTGTTAGTAGTGTTGCACAATTCAATTTAATTTAACCTCCTCTGTCAGAATATAAACGGCTCCACATATGAGGACTGTTTGCAGACAGTTATAAGACAGGAGTTAAAGGTACAAATATAACTTTTGAGTTAGCGATAGAGCTTAGCGAATAAGCTAACGAGTATGCTACCGACTGTTAGCTCAGAGAGCTTCATTTTCCCTCTTCAGTAACTTTATATTGAATGAAATGGTGTACAATAGTGAACAAGACACCAGGGGGAGTAAACAGAATCTTGTAGAGCCATTGTGACTAATGTGAGCCTGGCCGGGTAGTGAGTTAGCAGTTAGCTCCCCAGCTACAGCAGTTCACCAGCTAGCCCTGCCACTACGTCACCAAGCGTACAGAACCAAATATTTAGCAAATTTCGCTGTACCATTTTCTGAACAGGCCTTAAAGCTAATATCAAATAATAATTATGATAATTATATAAGTATATCGTGTGAAGATTCCGTTTAATTCCTAACATGAACATTATTTTAAGTCGGACCATGAAGCATCATCAATAGTCACTTTCTTTCTCAGACAACCACCTTTTCTGCCACTTAACTAAATAGTGAAACCATGAGTGTGTGTGTGTGTGTTAGGGAGGAAAAGTTCAGCTGTGAAACGTCACCAGTGTGCCATCATTCACACACAGAGGGTGACTCATCTATGCGCAACATGGACAGAAGCATACATACTGTACACAGCTTGCTCGCATCCATACTAGTAGCTTTTACACACAACATGTTGGTATGTGCATTTGCTGAGTGACAAACACACATAAAACTTCAACCTAACCATCACACACCCCACCACCACACAGCCTAACCTAACATTAGAAATGAACAGACTGTTATTGCTTTGCATAACGTTTTCTGCTGGGGAAAAAAAAAAAGTTATTTTTCAAGATCAGTTGGCTACATCTTTGTGTGGTTGATAAACAGGCGCTGACAAACAAACATCAAACGTAACGAATAAGCCAGCGAAGAAATGTTGTGAAGTGTAAAGGGAGATTTTCATTGGCACGTACCAGCCATGCACATTTGGACAATATATCTATTTAATCTATTTCTACATGATTGTTTAACTCGCTCTCAATGCTTCAATGCATGTTAAATGTCTATTTGACCTAAAGCTACTGTCCTTATGACAATCCCAACCACACAGCAGCATGAGAGTGTACTGTATGTTGTCATATTATGCTTCTAATGCGGGAAAATAAATTATATATTTTTTTGGCAAAATAATTGTCTTAAGAAGACAAAAGATAGTTTCAAAGTGCTTATGGCAGATTTACTGTCCATTATCTTCCATTAGATTTTACTGCATTATTAAAATATGGGCAGCAGGCATTACTGTAATATCCCAGTTGTATAGACAGATACATACAGTACAGGAAGTCATAGGTCCCACTGATCCTAGACCAGCAGAGTCGGTATTCATGGAGAATATCACAAGACGGTTTTGGTCATTGTGTCCAACACAAAAGGGATTTCATAGCAGAAACACCTACAGCATTTACACCATAATAACAGAGGGGATGATTCTATATTTGCAGGCTCTCTATACTATTTATACTCATATATAATCAAATATTCTATCTATTAAATCTGATAAATCAGATCCATTTATATATTTACACTGAATTGTATTCATTCACATAAATCCTGTACAGTTCCCTACGTGTCGATGTCATATCAGTACAAGGCGTTAAGGGTTCGGATTGAGTCAAAACACACACAAGGCCGGGTGGTGCAAGTTGCTACGAGGGACAGCGGGGGCGTCACACACGCACGTAGTTGCCATGGTTACGACAGGGAAATGTTGACGTCGACCACATAGAGGAGTTTCTCAGCAGCGGCGTCATTTACTCCTGGTTTCGATACTCCTGGTTCTCGTTATGGATCTGGTTCCGCCTCTCTTTTCTTTCTCCCTCCTCTGCAACTAGTCTGCTTTCTCGTTCTTTTTCTCTCCACCTGTCACTTCTGAGCTACGTTTCACTCCCTCTTCCCCTCTACTGCAGTCACTCCTCCACTAGAGTGTGCAAGGTATACCTCTAGGTCCCCAACTTTTCTGCTGACACAGAAACACTCCCCAGTTATTTTCTGTTCAAAGAGGTAGGGGGGCTTGTGTACAGGCGGGATGCAGCTCCCTCCTGTGGTGTGCGTATATACGTGTGTGTGTGTTTTGTCAACACTTGAGCTGGTCGATTTCAGAGCACTCTGTGTCCATGTCAGAGTCATACAGCGAGTGGCCTGTAGGGTCGCTGTCGGGCGACGGCGGGTCCTGTGGCGTGTGAGTGTGTGGAGTGTGTGTGTGTGTGTCATCCTGGAAAGAGTCCGTGCGAGAGTAGAGGCCCAGGTCGGGGAGTTTACAGGCCGAGTCGCTGCCCTCTGTGGTGTCCTTGTAGCAGAGGTCCTCCAGGTCCACGAACCACTCGGGCCAGAATCGCCGGCGGATGCGCTCGCAGTACATGGCCAGGTTGATGAGCTCACCTGGAGGAGACAGACAGGTGAGACGCTCTGAAAATTCCATGCAATCAATTATTAATCTAAGTCATTTTTCAAGCAACAATACCGAAAATGATCTGGTTCCACCTTCTTAATTGTGTAGTTTCTCGCCTTTGTCTTATGTAAAGGTAAACTGATTATTTTTAATGTCACGATCGTGGGCTGTTAAGAGTACTTGATTATTTGCTTAATGAATAAGTTACAGTTAGTTGCAGCCCTAACTAACATAATCTTAGTCTAGTGGTTTTTAAATGAGGGGTCAGGAAATAATAAGGGGTTTAACAAAATGATTAACAAGAGAGAAAGAATAAAAAAAACACATTGCTGCTACATAAAATAAAGAGACTTCTCAGCCTCTTTCATGTGAAATGCTGGAGTTTAACCTCATCGGGTCTCAACATTGTGAGAGAGAAACAGCTCATAGACATAGGCAACTTGTGAGGCTTTAATTTATTTAATTCTCTCTTTATTATTCAATATGAACATTTCCTTGATCTGTCCAACGTGCTGCTTAGGCAGTTATACAGACTTTCATTCAGCTGGATGACCTGGGATGTCATCCTATGTCATCTGGCCATCTATAGCAAGAAACGCCCCCTATCAGCTCCTCAGGAACCGTCTACAGCTAAACCTGCTCTGATAATCACTGTAGGCAGGAAAGAAGAGTCAGTTTGGAATCAATATCAAGTGTAATATTATATTTATTGTAGAGCCACATGTATAAAGGATGCTATGTGCAGATGTTCAATAAAATGAATTTACATTTTTTTTTTCTTTTTTTAGCCTAAAAAAATGTGCTTAGCTTCTGAATAACTCATCTTTTTTAAGTGAATTTTGTTTCAAAATAATTACGCTTAAACCACAAGCAGTTTTAACTGGTTATGAAACAATCTCAATTAAGTACTGATGCCTCTACTGTGTTTAAGAGTTATAATTGATAGTAGACCTTAAAGTGCGTACACTTATTGGACTGGTGGCAGACGTCTTACTGTCTTAATGGTGAATATCTCAAAGTCTAATACAACTTAAACTGTCATCAACTAGCTTGGGATGTGACAGAAAATACAGTACGTTTCTTCTATTTTGGTGAACTTACCTTTGATTAGCTGCTCCGGCCGTGTTCCTGGTAACGTCCACATAGCAGGAGCCAGGTGACTGAACACTGCAGCATCTACTGTCGACAGCTTAGAGCCCATCAGATACTTCTTATCACCTTAAACAGCACACAGGAAAAAGATGTGTCAAATAAATAACAACACAAAAATACAATCCCTGTGCAGACGTGCTTTTCGTCTTAAAGGAATAGTTAGATCTTTTGAGGACTTAATAAGATAAGAGGATTTATACCACTTTAATGTCTGTGTGGTAAATATAAGTCCAGCAGCTGGTTAGCTAAGCTAGCATAGAAACTGGAAAGAGGGGGGAAACAGCTAGCCTGGCTCCAAATGGTAAAAATAAAAAAACTGCCTGCTTGCAGATTTAAATAAGTTGAGGTTTTACGGGGGGGTCATGTGCCGGACTATTTCCTGGACGGGATCAGTGACTCCCTTTAATAAACTCCTCTGACAGTAGATTCATTTCTTAACAGACAACTATTAATTTAAATCCCCCTTTCACTTGTTTTCTACAATGAGGAAGTTGTAGTGAGGCAAAACATGCTGAATTTCCAGATACTGTTTCAGCATGAGAAAGCAACATCTTCAGTTCTGACACTAAAATATACATACATTTGTACAGAAAATGTACACGAGAGGAAACTGAAAAGAAAAAAAACAAACATTTATGACCACAAAGTAAAAGGCGCCAGAGATCATTTGATGCCAATAGGTTTGTGAATATTAGTAAGCACTATTAGTGGAACAACACTTCCCTTGCATGCAGATTCGGGTCCTCCTCTTTGCACCTCCTTTAATCCATACAGACTTGCCCAAGATGGTTATATTGGAGAGTAGTCATAATTCTATATATATCTATTGACTATACGTGTGTCTATATTTTTAATCCCGTATTGTTGTAGTATAGTCGCGTATGTGAGTTGGACTGCAATGCTATATCTTAACCACAGGAGGTCAGTATTGTGCTTTTTTTTGGGAGCTGCTGCTGTCCCTTAACCCAAAGTACAAACATGATATCACTGGTTATAGTTCTCAAGGCACACACTGAAGAGCTTTCATATGGCCAAATTAAAGATGATGATGATTTTTTAAATTAAAAAATAAATATTTTCCTGATTGTCACCTAGTAGAGTGGCCAGGGTGCGCATGTCCTTCTCCATCAGGGCGTAAACTTCATCCTTGGAGAAGCGTCCGATCCCGTGCCCATACATCTCCCTCTTGACGATCCCGCCGGTCAGGTGACTCAGGATCCACTTGAGCAGGTCACTCAGTGGTCCGCTCACTGACAGCATCTTCTGGGTCTCCTCCAGGTTGTCCACCCACTGACAGTAAGCTATGGTCCTGCAACACACACACCCACACACAACCTAGGATTCAATAACTGGAACAGCTACTACAGGTAATTCTAAGAACTTGTTTTTGTTGTAAGTTAAAATTTGGAATCTTAAAATAAGATTATTTTATAGGTTATTTATATTTTCTTAGAATAATTGTTGCAAATTCCAGAAAAAGCTTGTTTCTGTTTACATCTTATAGTTAGATATGTATGTGATCCTATTTTGTTGTAAATAACATCCACTTATTATTACTTTGTTATTATTTGTAATTATTTTGCTTCATTTGATTTGATTTAATTTATTTAGTCATTCAGTTCATCAACATTTAACATTTTGTACGAAATATGACTATTATCATTACTATTTGTATTTTCTATATAATTTCAGGCAGAGGAGGGGAGGATCGGGAGAGTACTTTATACTTTCAATAAAATTCTTCTGCTCCCTCTGCCCCCTTTTTCCTCCACCCCCTCATGCTCCTTACAAGTAAACTGGTCGCTCACCAGTAGAAATGCTCCTCCACCATTTTGGTGATGGCTCGAGACATGGCCTTCTCCTGTGGAGTCAGGCTCTTGTTGAGGCTCGCGCCCAGCCTCTCCTCCAGGAAGTCGATGATGAATTCGGTGCCACACACCTGCTTCTGGTTGTATTCGATCCACGGCATCTTTCCCTGTGGCGAAAGCTTCCCATCAAAGTAGTTCTGGAAGAAAAAAAATAAAATAAAAGGAGAAGATGTTAAAAATACAGAACAGAGGAAGTGGTTGGTGATTGGTATTAAGGAATTGCATCAAGACAAAACATTTAAATGAAATTTTAATTATCCCTTGTAAGAAACTTAGTGACAGTAGCAGCAGAGGCAAGACAGCAATTAATCACAGCAAAAGTAATTACAACAGAAGAACAAACTAAGGATTTTGCCACGAAGAAATGGGGATTAAAACATCCTCACACTCAATGCACTGTTAGTTAGTCGCCTTAGGAGAACAAAAGAAAAACACACAAGCACAGCTCTACCTGATAGGGCAGGTCAACCATACGGAGGTAGGTCTCCAACTTAAGGCAGAAAGGGGACAGGGATGGGACGCCAGTTTTGGGCCTGGAGAACTGGTGGAGTATGATGGCATCTTTAGAGTCCAGCTCTTCCTCCTTTCTGTGGGGAGGAAAGAATGACAGAGCTGCAGATCAGGCGGAAAGAGAAGCTTTGTGTGTGTGTGTTTGTACATAATTATTTTCACAGTCACATTATGGGGACTTCCCTCCCGTGTGAGGACAAAAAGCAGGTCCCCACAACATTGACATTAGAATAATTAACATTAGAATTTGGGGGTTAAGTATCTATTCTTTTCATTATGGAATAATATTTCAATATTATATAATATTTATATTTATATCGATTCATTTGGAAGAAAAAAATCTCACAAAATAGTGAAAAAACATCACACTTTTCTCTTTTTTTTGTCCGATCACAAATAAAAACCCAAAGATATTCTGTTTACAATGAAAAAGGACTGTACCAACATCTGGAACCAGAACAGAAGTTGTGACCAACAGTATCATAAATTGCTCTGATACTGCCTAAAATTAGATATTAATTCTAGGAGAGTACAAGGGTCTGTGCACCAGTCAGGTACTACATCACTTATTAGCCTGAAAATGGGACCCTGCTACTTTCCAGCAGGGTCCCGTTAGCCCCCAGAATAGTGAAGTCATGAAATTTATACTTCTATATTATACTTTAGAGGTGCATGAAATTTGCACCTCTAATGTATAATATCAATGGGTTCAGCATTATGAATTTATTGTGTGGCTCTGTCCTGTAGAGGGGCTCTTTGTCAAAGTGTTGAGAGATTATTTATCTCCCTTTATATTGTGCTCACATGTTGTATATTCTGAAATAAAGTTGTGTTAAATCACAAGTTTTACTCCAGCTGTACTGGTTGTACTGGTTGTACTGGACTTAAAGGAACATTTTGGGGTCCTAGTCTGTCTACTGATAGCAAAATCCAATTACCAGCACTAGAGTTTTATAATTAACACATTAACTCAACGCAACATAAAATAACAAATTGTGGGTTCATGAGGATTATGTATCAGACTATTTCTGAATATCCTGGATTGTCAACCTCACAGTCTCACAGACGACAAGAGACCATCATTTTGTTACCATTAGACAGGCTAGCTGTTTCCCCCTGGTTCCAGTCTTTATGCTAAGCTAACCTAAGAGTGGCAAGATGAAGTGCTTGTGGGTGGAAGGATAGGGCTATCATATGATTGACTGAATAAATCAAATGATGAACTGGCCCTGAGTGATTGTCAGCCCGGAGCCCTTTACACAAGCCGAGGGGAAAACTGCAATGTCAAAATAATGAAGCGTACCCTTGTGAAAGATTATGGTGCATTCACACGGATACAGTTGGAGGCTACTTCAGGACAAGGGCAGGCCTGCAAATGGCAACAAATTCACGTGGGCATAATGCAGAATTAAAGGGAGCTGTCCACTGTTTATAAAAGCAGCCTCACAGCAGAGGAGCTGTCTATTTCAGCGTGGTGCTGAAACACACAGCTCACTTCTTAGAAAGACCGGTTCTGGTGCAATAACCCAGAATGAGTTAATTTCTATTTTATATAAAAGCACAGGAGGTGCTGTAAAATGAAGCCTAGTGTACCGAGAGAGGAAGAGAGCTGCAACATTTATCGTCCGACTGGACAAAAACAACCGCAAGAGGAAGAAAAACACGTCTAGCCAGACAGGATGAACTGAACAGTGTATGAACACACAGCCTGTTATTCATACACCGGTATAAAGTATAGATATATATATGAGCTAAAATCAATTAAACATCCTTTTAATATTCCTGACAAAGGGTGAATGCCCACCTTTATTTTACATTTTGTAGTACGTTAGTCAACAACAGTGGGACTGCAGGTAACCTGAGATTTTTAAGGACAACAGCCTGCATCCTTCAAACCTCATTCAATAATAATCAATATATTCACATCTATCTCATTACCACTTCATTATACAATTTTAATGCCTACCCAGCTGTATAAAAACACAGATAACATTACAGTAGAGGGTTTCCCCCCCCCCTCATAGCTGCAGCAGACTGAAACCAAACTCCATGAGTGTGGAGCTGGGGGTCATAATAAAGCACACACACACACACACACACACAAGATGAACATAATGTCACCTTGTCCTTGAAATCCACATGAAAGCGACCCTGTGTCACAATACTGTCAATAATATGACAGGAGAGCTGTTAGAAAGCAGGCCTGCAGACCGGCGGACGGAGCTCTCCAGCAAACAACATTAGAACATCATCAGTAACATCATCTGTAATCGTTTTTACAATGGAGACCAAAAAGATAGACCGTGACCCTTTGCAGGAGGTCGCTCGTGCCATTAAATGCCCAACAAAGCCAATGAAGATGGAAATGTCCTAATGTGTTTGTGTGTGTGTGTGTGTGTGTGTGTGTTTATGAGGAGGGGGGGGCTCCGTTACATCACAATCCACCCACTCACGATTCCCACTGACTCCGCTCTCACCCCGCCCAACCTGATAACATTAAGTAATATCAAACCCCAGAAAAAATACAGAAGAGCATAAGACCAGAATAAGACCAGAATAAGACCCGGATCAGACCCGGATCAGACCAGAAGTGGGTTCTGGAGGCCCTGGCTGTGGAAAGTGATGAGCTCTGCAGCTCCTACAGTGACTCCTCTGGCAGCCTCTGTGTTGTTGCTACCTGATCGCCAGCAATTCGTGCAGCAAATAAGCGGCGGCGGCGAGCAGAGCCCCTCCAGTCAAATACAGCGTCTTCCGCCACCACGAGTCCGAGCCCAAAGCTGACATGATCCCGCCGTAGTCCTGCAGTGGGTAGGCGATGATGTACCCATAAAACGAGAGCTGCTCATCGGAGCCCAGCAGGCCGGAGGAGAAGCTCTGGTTCTGGCCAAGATCAACCACACACGACCGCGTCCAGGCAAACCCGACGCGCCAGTACATGCTCTCTGTCTCCGGCCACTTTCCGCCTCACTTTGGCAGCTCGGGGCTTCATCAGCGGGGGCTTCATGGGTGCGGGGGGCTGCAGGTGCGGGCCGACTGGGCGAGGAACCGTCGACTGGACACAAGCGTCCCGCCCGGAGCTTGTCCCCGCAGCGGGGTCGACATCCTCCGCAGCCCGCTCGGAGCTCGCTGGCTGTAGCCTTCCTCCTGCATCCGTCAAGTCACACGAAGACACTGCGACGCTTCCGGTTGCGTCTTTCAAAATAAAATAAGTTGCTTCGTTGGTGTTATATGGTGTCACATTCCAGGAGTACTCCAAAATCAAAACATACATGCAATTGTGTCTGCATGTCTTCAACACAGTTTGTATGAGAAATGGTGAAGTCTCAGGTTCACTTTGTAGGGTTGTAAGCTGACAACCCGGCTGCAGTTTGATTAGCACTAAGAGGAAACAGTTTGTGTTGTGCAGATATTGAGAGACAGATGTTAGTAGGGGTGTAGGTCCCTTCAGTAATGGACAACTGGACTATGGTACTAGTACAAACTAATATATTAGTTTTAAGTCTATAGAGCCATTGCTTCGACTATGACCATTAATAATAACAACAGCGCCTGCATGAAAACAGTCAAGACAAGATTTCTGTGCAAAGGAAAAAAGGCATAAATCATGTGTATAAAATATAAATAAAGCCAATGTCTCAACTTTAAGCCTATTTCTTGAAAAAATTATGTATATTTTATCTTTTAGCTGTGGAATATTATTTTTTTACATTTTTTATTATTTATTTTATATTATACCACAACAATATATATTAAATTTTTTTTTACAGCAGACATTTTAACTTGACATAAAGCACAGGTATATGTAACAGACTATTGTTTTCAACTATTTCAGTAAGCCATGATTGTGAAAGTGTCCAGCTCCTCATTTAAACCGAAAATTCTGCGAGTTTTACTACTTTATTTTTTTCTCCCCCTAAATTAAAAAAAAAACACAGGGTTTTATTTTGAAGGGGAAGTGCTCCCGCTTGCTGTAGTTTTTCTCTGGCTTCACGCAGCTGAAGTGACGTCACGGGTACTGAGTGTACCCCATGGTACCAACTCCTAGAGGCAACTACAGGTAAATACATCCTCTGATACTGATGATGTTCAGTAAATTATCACATTTTCTCAACCACAAACTGGAGAAAAGTCTAACTCACTTCATGCACTGTCTACTTTAACTCCAAGCTCTCTGTTAAAAATATACATTATTTTAATGTGAAAACTGGTATGTGATATGTTAGGTATTCTCTGCATCCGCCACTAGGGGTCCTACCACAGTCATTGTACTGAAGTGACATTGAAGTAAGGTAAAGGGAGTCAATATGACTTTTGTAACATGCTGGAAGATTCGTCCATTACACACAATATGAGCATTAAATAAGAGCTTCAACAACAGCTAGGAACCGCTTTGTTTTGCACACCATACATTTTTATTTAATCATAAGTGATTTTCCAAAATGATAAACAGACTTTCAAGTAATAAAACAATTTTGGGTAATGTTAACAGAAGTAGTAGGAATATTTAGGTGGGGTGAAGCTCTTTATCTCTCACCCATTCATGTAACAGATGGAGCCTGCTGAAGGGGAGGAAAATGGCAGACGGTGAAGTAGAACAAGGCTGCATCCAACTTGCCTCAGAGGCTTCTGTGTGTCACTTGTCTCTTTGATCCAGTATGAGACAGTGATATGCCAGTTGCCTTTAATACAATGATTGTCCAATTGACAAAAATTAGGTGCACAGGAAGTGTCTGAGGGGAAAAAGATGCATCCAAGCAATGCAACAACATCAACAAAAACACCCCCTAAAATACATTTCAGTCCACTTAAATGGGACAATGTGCTTTAATGAAGGGGTTTCTCTGTAACCAGCAGCTTTTATTTTGTAAGGCTTTCAAGCACCTTGTTTTGAGTACAGCCACACACAGCTCCCACTGCGTTACATCACAAAAATATATATATAGACATCTACATGTATACACACACACATAGCGTCACAATTGAGTGATTAAATGAATGGCACAAGTTAGATGGAAAAAGAAGAAAAGTACAACCAAAACTTTGCAGACAAATCTAGAGAGAATTTACTCAAAAAAAAGTCTCTCCATGACAAATTAAAAACAAAAGTTTCACCAAAAAGACTGCTTTACACAGAACATTACTGTTTAGTGAAGCAGAATAAATGAAAACATAAAATAAAAAAGGCTTTGCAGCAGGCAAACAGATTCATGACAGTGAAACAAACAGGGGCACTTTCATCTGAAGCACAAGTACGAAGCAACGTCTGCTCATGATTTCTATTTAATTTGAATTAAGTAAGCAAAAACAGAAAGGTAAAATAAACGAACATGAGGCTATTTACAAAAGAGAAGAGGGAATGGGAGGGAGGAGGTGAAGTTGTCATGATTCAAAACAGTAAATTCTTGTACTCAAAGAGTTCATTTCTACCATGAAGAGGAGCTTCTCTTGGGTTCATGATCAACCAGCACAGACCTCCACACAGAGCGTCCAATCACATCACAGTTGCGCAGGGTGATATCCAATCAGATTCACTCTCTAAAACAGCACAGGATCAAATTGTTTTACAGAGAAGACTACTACAGTCCCTGAGTAAAGAAACCCCACCCAGACTGGCCACTCACACACACGCACGCACACACACAGTACTCGTGATCAAGTTTTCTCGAATCCCACGGAGCTCCATGTGAAAAGGACTCTGCTCCTCTGGGCTCTTCAAGGATGCCAGGATCATCACAATGACATTAAAAACAGGTTTTCTATTAAACCATCACATCTGTTCTTCCATCAGTTGTCCCCCGCCCCCCTCCCCAATTAATTGTTCCTCAGTTTTAGTTCACTTCAAGTCTGGAGCAGAGTAGAGAGGCCCCGTCAAAAGTGTTGTCACGGATCGGCTCATCACTGCAGACACGTCAACGGGCCGCTCGCTCAATCCATGAACCCATAATGATCAGAGATGGGGGGGAAAGTGAAGACATGGCTCTCAAGAGTTTGTTGAGGGTGTCAGCTGACACCACAAAAGGTCTTCCATCAACATGATGGATACCCGTGGAAATAGACGCTACGCTAAGACTGGCTGTAGGAGTTGCTTTGGTTGCCATTAGAGCTCTGGTCCCCCTCACTGTAGACAACACGGAGAAAATAATCACATAAAGCTCATCGAGATACATTACAAGGTGTCGAGTTCATTTATTTGAAGACGTATGGAAAGATAAACAACACACATGATAGCTCAACGTGCAGTAAACAAAATCTAGTCTATTGATCTTTCTAACGTGATTAATTCAGCTGTCAGGGAACATTTTCCAGATCCATCACGTTCTGTAAAATCCACTCAAGTCCTTTCCTGACTTCATGATCTCACCAAAGCAAAGCTTATATGCAAAATGAGACTGGTAAAAGCAACTTCATGCTGTTTATGTATGGTTTTTTTTTTAAGTATTTACTGTATATTGTACTTGAAGAAGCCAGAATCTATCAAATAAAATATGTCTACTTTATTTCACAACAGGGTTTACACATAAAGCCATGTGAGGTTTACCTGTTGGGAGGCGGTTTGGGCTTAGGCATCTTGTTTAGAACGGCTGCTATCTCCTTTCTGTCATCAAAGTTTTTCCACTGGTCATAGAGCTTCAGAATGACACGGATAATCTCCAGGATCTTGACAGAAAACACAAAACAATAACTCACGTTGACCCACAGCTTCTAGACACAAAACAGTCAAAAAGACAAATGTATATATTGTACAATGATTTTTGTAAAACAGTAACTGTAGTTCCAGTCCTAAATTCAGATAAAAACGGTTACAATATATATTATATATGCTTATTTGATGCATCAAAGTAAAAAATCTGACAAGATAAAATATAGTGAAAAGGTGCATATATTATAGAGTCTATGATCAGTCTGTGGTTTACTTCCTCAGTGTTTCTGGCATTTATTTATTTTTGTTGATTTCTGGGTCTACGCAATTAAGTGTTTGTGATCCTGATACACACCTGCACAAAACACAGACAGCAGTGAGACAGTATTGCCTTTTTCTTGCCTAAAATCTTCTCAGAAAGACATTTTAGTGCACTGTGTAGCTGTAACACAAGAAAGTGTGTGACCAGGCAAGCCGCCAATGTTCCTCGCTACCTGCTAGTTGAGACTAAGTGCAGCCAAAAAAAACGACCTGGCGATGGCCATAATGCCAAAGGTCACGGTATGTTCACACTTGATTGTAACAAATACCAGTGAAGCTAAGTGTGCAACTCCATCACAAACAGATGAACATCGCCTATTTTTCTAAAATACAGACTGCCTGAATTCATCAACTGCTGTGGTGACTTCTGAGATACCAGTTAGCTCAACTTCCAGCTAGATGCTACTTGAAGGAAGACATTAAGATGAGAAGCACTTTATGTTGTGAGGAGACCAACTGGAAACTAAGACGTGACCAACACTGCACTGAGCCGCCTTAAAAGTGAGAGGCTGCATAAAGTGAAAGGAAGCATACAAAAAAAATAATGTTGGGAGTTTTATCTGTGCTTTTTCATTTTTGAGTCATTAGAAATGCGTCAAGGATACGTGTGTAGGTG